GACATAAACCTTTCTGCTTATAACTCAGCTGCGTTCGTCTTTCCTCTTGAAATAGTAATAACAACACATTGTGTGTAGCTCCTCTAACCCAAATGATGCAAAAGGATTAACTTTCATTTTCCATGAATGGAGTAGCCCTGAATTGGGGGAAGCTGCCACTTGAGAGGGAAGTAATTGCTATATGTAAAAAAAATAAATAAATAGAAAAGAATTGGAAGGCCAAGGTGGCCAGCTCCTAGATAAGGCTGGGTCCCAAGCAGCTGAGGTCAGAGAAGAGGAACAGAGAGATTGTACCCCTAGATCTATACCTAGAGCCTTTCCGCTTGTTTCCCAACTCTCCACTGTGTGTGTATATTTGCGTCTGTATGTACATACATGTGCAATATTTTCCAGTATCATCCCCATCCTAATTATTCTGTCCCATTTTGAGTACCTGCATTAAAACATATATCTAAATACTTCATTTAGAAAATATCATCACTGTGCGAATAGTGAATAACATTAGCTGCCCCTGATATTGTTCATTCTCTTATATGTGGATAAGCACTTGACTGCCTGACAACAGTTTTCTAATATTTTTTTCTAATCTTAATTCTTCAGGAAAAGAAGATTCGCTGTCTTCAAACACACACAAGAGAATGGTTACTTTTACAGTGGTGCCCCCTAGTGCCGATCGGATTAGACTCACTTTCTATATTTGCCAAAATACCACACAAGAGAAGCAAAATTTGGAGAGTTGACAATGTTGGTAACTTTTCCTGCATTTTCTTTAGCGTAGGAGAGAATGAAGCATGTTCCTTTACCATGATTCACAAGACCCTTTGTGAAATGCCCTCCACCCCCACCCCCAGCTTTCCAGCTTCATCTCCACCACTTCCCCGCCGGAACATTTAACTTCAGTTATTCGGAACAACTTGCCATTCCTGCTTAGTAAGCCGTCTGCCCCTACCCACCCATTCCCATCCTCCTGTCTGCTTAAAGAATTTCTCCTCCTTCTAGTATCAGCTGAAGCATTATCTCTTCCCCTAGGTTATCCTGACTCCCCAGAAGACGGAGGCAGCCTCTCCCTCCTCCCTGCTCTCCTCCTCCCGTTGTCCCTCTAGCATGTCACTCTTTTGTCCCCACCCCACATCTTGTCTGTGAGTGCAAATAGTTCAAAAACCTTCTCCAATGGATGTTTATATCTCCCATGCCTCAAACAGTGCCTAGCAGAAGGAATCACTCAATGTAAAAACAATCTGTATAAGGATGGCTTGATTGATAATAGGAAGAACTGTAGTGTAGGAATCGGGAGTTTCTGGTGAATTAACCAGCTAAGTGATCACTAATGGTTCACCTACCCTCTCTGGGTTTCTGTTTTCTTATCTTTAAAGAAACTATGTCTAATACCTGCCCCAAATCCAGTGATTCTTAACCCAAAATGCCTTATGACAAGCCAGGTCAACTTCAGATGTTGTTTTAATTCTCAAAGGTTTGCTTACGAAAAGCAAATTCAAATGCCTTTGAAATTATCTTATTTGCAGTCTAATATTAAAAAAGTTCTAAAAGCTTGCTAAATTACATGGAGACATGTAAATTAAGCTAATATGAAACAAGATTTTTTTTTTCAGGCAAACTCCTATTTCTCTTATTAAATGATACAAAGAAAGGTCCAACTTGTAGCCCTAAACTTCATTAAGAAACCGAATTCTAATGCTGGCTCTCACTGACACAGAACTGGTCAACTCGCTTTTTAAGTACCTCCACTTCTGTCTTTTCCAGCTGAAAAAATGTTAAGAATGTAAGCCTTTAACAGTGGGAATTGCTGAAAAAAAGTATCACTAAAAGCCTTCACATCTTTGAGGGTAACAATAAAGGTGATATGAATCTTGGAAGAACCAAGTTTCAATGGTTTCAGTGAGGTTTCTCACACCTTATAGGTCAGCTTTTACTGCCTTTGTTCTGTAGCTGAAGTTCCAGGTAAGAGTGGCATCCCGACCATTTAAGTGGATATCTCAATATGATATTCAAACAATGTGTATTGATTTTGGTGGCCGTAGGATTGACTTATATACCTTGTGTCGTGAATATTCACTGCTTTTCCTTTTCTAAACAGTGTGTTTTGCTGATCTGGGATGGGTCATTTAGATGCGTATAGGATATATTATTTAAGTATAGGAAAGTATATATGTGCAAATTTGATTCCCCCAATCCCTTCTCAGGAGCCAAGAAATCCATAAGCTCAAACACAAAAATTAACTCACATTTTGCATTTCTCAAATCCTTATATCCCTTCTGTGAATATACAAACTATATACTCATAGGATATTGAGCTGGAAGACATCTTATTGATCATCTGATCCAACTTTCTCCTAATACAGATGATAAACTCAAGGCCCAAAGAGGACAGTAAATTAGATGAGGAGTGGGTAGGTCTAACTTTTTTTCTGGCATCTTGAAAAGAAAATCGTCTGCATTTTATGTGCATAAATAGACCTAACCCAGTGATGAGGAAACAGAGGCTACTAAATAAAATTGATTGACGGGAGACTTGACTGCCAAATGGAGCTTAGTAGCTATATCTGTATTTACAGAGTCATTCATATAGGCAATTATTTCATAAGGCTAAAAAATTCAATCTAAGAAATAAAGGGAAAATCATACTTATTTCCCAAAAACCTTTCTCTTGCAATAAAAGAGATCCAATTTAATTGGATTAAATGGTGAGCATTCCAGCTCTATTTCACCTCCAGTGCACATCACTGTAACTTTATGTCTTATAAAAGTAGAGGTTTGACTTGCCTCACCACTACCAACACCACCACCACCACCCCCTCAATCCCTCAATCAAAATTCCAAACAGTATTGTAAATGAGTTTTAAATGGCCACTAGTCTATGCCTCTTTTTCAAGAGCTGCTGTACAACGTTGTCTCTCAATCACTCTGTCTTTGTCTGTCTCAAACACACACACACACATTGCTGCTACCACTGCCACCAACACTATTTGGTAAACCATCAGGTTCTGCAGAAAACACATACAACCCATCTATGCTATCCTTCTCATAATAAAGTGTAAGTAATAAATATAAGATTAAATGTAAGGACCCATTGTGCTGTCCCAGATCCTATAACAATATAAGAAATTACATTAGCTAATTAGAAATTTAAAAATTTTATAATTAACATCAAGTGAAGAATTTCCAATATCTGTGCAAGAAAAAAAAAATCTATATTCAGAGTAGAAAGGAGCATGTTTCTTAAGCAAACAACTCAAATATACCACCTATGTCTTGCTTCCATCTCTGTTCCAGGACTATAGAAGCTAATTCTCCCCTAGAGATCACTCACCATCAGGTTTAGGGTCCTAGAAACAAGTGCCCAGCTTTTCTTCCCACGGCTTTCCTTCTGTCCCAGAGATGCTGGATGGCTTGTCGGAAAGGACCCCCTGTTTTTCTCAACCTCTCCTGGGTATTTATAGTCCAAGGTGGCCCCAACCACCAGCAAGCTGTACGTCTGCGTTTCACCTTTTGCTGTCTCCTGCTCAGAGCCCTTGTGCAATCAGTTAGCCCTGCACGGAGCCATGTGTCCTGTGTTTTATCATCCCATGGTGTAAGGAAATATGTAACACTGTGGTTGTTTGAAAAAGCACTCTCAGGGCTCCCAGACCTGGTGAATGCACTCAGCTGTTCTATTTTCGGTTACTCTGTTTTCTTCTCAAAAGAGCCTAATTCCGGTTGATGTCTTAGGCATCCGGTCGATGTCTTGGGCATCCTGCCATGGACACCTTACTCTTCCCCCACACCCTCTCCCCGAATCGCCTACTTAATTGCACCCTAAGAGTTCTGCAAGAAGACGTAAACGTGTGCTGTGATGAAGAGAGGATAAGTGTACTATCATGCTCACTGGTCTGAAGCCCTGAGCGTGATACCGGCTGCACTTCTGGAATTTGGAGACACGAGCACTCTCTGTTGTCCGGTGATCACAACCACACACACTCTCACCAGCCTCCGTGCACTGAAAACCCTATTTCCTGTAGGCAGACAAGCCCAGGCATTTGCCAAGACTGCTCATCTCCTTCTGGTTTAATTGGAGGTTCTTAGTTTCAGACAAGACCATCAGAAATCAAAGTTTGTACTGCCTGACCTTTATCAGGGAGAAACATTTCTAACCCAAAACAACCAGCTGGCGAAACAAGATTATCATACTAGCCCCAACAAAGGAACATGAGGAGAATGTATATTTATTTTTCTCCAGCAGCATCCTCTGCAGTGAAGAACATCCATGAATAAGAAAAAATAATGTAAAAGCAAAAAGTGTGGTAGAAGAATAAAGTGAAAGAAAAATGGGAATATTTTAATTAAGTGGGGAAAATACTAGAAATAATCTCCTACTACATGATGTATTTAATAAGGTGGGAAAAAGATGAAATGATGTCTTTAAGTTGTGACAGGCAGAGATAGATTGTGAGAAGCAATATCTGATTAAATCATTGGAGTGAATGAGTGGACACATAGGCATACACATGCACACACACATTGCTGCCCTATTAATTTGATACTTTCCGCATTCTTTAAAAACAAACTCACCTTGCAGATCTATAGAGTTTATGAATATTATGGGAAAGTAAAATTGGTCTCTTTCTTATTTCCTTTTAATATTAATTGCCTGATCAAACACATTACTATCACAATGGATAGACCAGGTATATCAGTGACTTGAAGCTTCAAAGTGACAGCTTATAATGGGATAATACCAGGATTCTTGCATTGCAAAGAAAAAGAAAAAAAGTCTAGAAGCAGTGACTCTGCCCTACCTCCACTCTGCCCTACCACTGCCACTGCTGAAAAGAGGGAAGGAAAGGAGAGACAGAAGGGCGTTTAACCACACTTTACGATTGCTGTGGGGAGGGGGAAAAAACTCACAATTTTAGCATAAGATTATGTCCAAGTGACTGTTTGCACTGTTGAAGCTGCCATCAGCATGAGCTGGTGGGAAAATAGCGCCCAGTGGTGCATCTTACCTGAAGAGCAGAGAAGTGCAGGCAGATGTAGGTGAGGCACAGGAGCAGCCCCAGCCCCTGAATTACAGAGGCCACCAGCAATAGCTTGTTCTTCTCGAATCTTGGCCTGGCTGCATTTCCCACATTCTCTTCCAGGGGCTGGACCCTTTCCATCTTCACAATCTGAGTAGAGGGAAGATGAAGATATGAAAAAGGGGAAGCTGGGACAAAACGAAGCCTATCAATCAGAAAATAGGCAAAGGTCTCAGGACCCGAGATAAAAGGCGATTGAAAGAGCAAAGCGGACTCTCTCAGTTTTAACGCTGCAACTTTTGCAGGCAGGCGGGGGAACTTCTTTGTGACTAATCTGAATTTCCCCTTTACTTTCTTTCTTTTTTTTTCCTCTGGGCTAACAGGGAGTTGTTTTTGTGGCATTCCAGTTCTGATTTGAGTGACTGTGAAATGACAGTCATAAAAGTATGCTATTTTCTTAACTTACTGCAGCAGTAACAAATTGTGGGCCACTTGGTAAAGATAAAAATCATCATCCGTTGATGTAGGAGCTCATATATCCCTTACCCAAGGTGTCTTAAATCATAGAATAGATTTAGGGGAAATGATAGCCCAAGATTCTTATCTGCACTTTACTATGTAACTAAACATTGAACCCCTCTTACAGATTCAGAAAGAAAGCACACACAGATCATTCTTAAATGAAAAAGACAAAACAAGAAAATAGGACAGTGGGTCATGTAGAAGTAAAGGAGTGAGATCCTCTGGTTGTAGTCTATTGCATGAAAATAAGCTACCATTGTTAAAGCATTTACTATGTGTCAGGCACTGCATTAGATGGCCTTGCAATATTTTTCTCATTTAATCCTTTGAGGCAAATTCAGTAGACAATTACATGATTAATTTTCCACACAGCAGAAAAGAAGCAGAAGGGTATCCTTTTTCCCTTCTTTCCAGTTTGCATCTTTCCCATACATAATTTTCCCATGAATGAACAAATGAATAGACGTAAATAAACTTTGAAGATTGTTTCTTTTGGGAGGCCAAGGTGGCGGATCACAAGGTCAGGAGTTAGCGCCTGGCCAACGTGGTAAAACCCCATCTCTACTAAAAAAAAATACAAAAATTTAGCCAGGCATGGTGGTGCATGCCTGTAGTCCCAGCTACTCAGAAGGCTGAGGCAGGAGAATTGCTTGAACCCAGGAGGCGGAGGTTACAGTAAGCCAAGATTGCGCCACTGCACTCCAGCCTGGTGACAGAGCAAGACTCAGTCTCAAGAAAAAAAAAAAAAAAGTTTCTTTCTTTGAGGTCGTGGCTGGCCTCGGAACTTGGAAAGTAAGAGTTATCAATAGACACCAGGTACCCTTTACCACTAAAATAAACAATAAAATGAAATAAATGATAAAATTTACTTATAATGCCAAGTTCAAATTGGCAAGTATTTACTGAGTACATTATATGAGCCTGGAACTGTACCGGGCAACATAGGGATGCTGGGGAATGGCTGTTTGAGACAGAATTGTCTCTCTTCTGTGGCCAAGTATGTCTCTCTCAGCTCCCTATAAGGCATTCAACAGTTATTTAAAGAAAGGAGGGAGAAATATTTTGGATATTGACAGTATGAACTGTTATATGCCACTTCGTTTCACAGAAAAAAAAAATGGAAATTAGGTGTATTTACAAGAAAAAGTTTGTGGGAAATGTGAAGTACATTTATCACTACGATATTAATCTATTAAAATATGAATTAATACCTTCACTACAATATTTATGCCTTGTATTTGCAGAATATATTGGTCTTCAGAAATTCAAGTTTCATCTAAAAGACAAGGCAACTAAGGCACAATGTCATAGACTCCAAGCCAAAACTAGCAATCAAGTTCTATCCAAACGTATTTGTCATAGTCCTGTGACCAAAGCATGTGTTACACATAGGGTATGGAGAAAAAAGTTGGAGGGAAAATCAGTGCGTAAAGCCCAATTCTTGTGTAGTAATTCATTATAATTGAGCCTTAAAATCAGTAACTATTTACTCATCAATTTTCAAAAAATGACTAGGGGTCACAGCAAAAAAAACCTAGAAACTAGAAATAAACTGAAAAAGAAATAGTAAAAACTATTCATGCTGAAAGTCATAGATGATATTTTCAAATCACTGTCAAAAGAATGAAAAAATATAAACATTTACTGTGCACCTACTTGTGCCTTAAGCAGCATTTCTTCTGTTAATATCATGGCTCCAAGGAAGAAAAATCTTTGCACAGAGTCATCTATACCCACATTTAGGCCTACACTTCAATGACACACCTCTCATCTGCCTTGTCTTGTCCTCCTACTGCCATATTTTGCCTAGTTGTAATTTTTGTTGATGTTTAAATGATTTTTATACTTGTTTCTTTTTTTAATTGAACACGTTTTCACAGCTTCTTCACATTCTTTGTGGGAAGAGATCACACACACACACACACACACACACACACACACACACACATACACACTGGGCTGGAAGTTCCAGGCACGACCTTTCGATAAGACTGTCTAGGCATTCCAAAGTTCATCATTGGGCTGGTCTAGCATATGAACCAATGAAACCACTATTAAGAGTTATCATTGCTGGCCTTTCAGTATTAGGCAGATGGGCAGAGTCTTCCATCTTCAAAACGTTTTCCAAAAAACAAAGTTTAAATGTTTTTAAAGGGGTCAAATGCATTACTGAACCTATCGGAAATTTGTTTGCATTTGTATTTATTTATTTTAGAGACAAGGTCTCGTTCTGTTGCACTGGAATACAGTAGGGCAATCATAGCTCGCTGTAATCCAGAACTCCTGGGCTTGAGAGATCCTCCTGCCTCAGCCTCCCAAGTAGCTAGGACTATAGATATGCACCACCAGGTCTGGCTAATTTTTTTAAAAATTTCTTGTAGAGACAGGGTCTTGCTATGTTGATCAGGCTGGTCACAAACTCCTAGCCTTGAGCAATCCTCCTGCCTTCGCCTCCCAAAGCACTGGGTTTATAGGCATGAGCCATCAGGGCTGGTGGCAATTTTTCTTAAAGTATCTCACAAATGTTAAACACATAAACGCACCAGAACAAACCAGCCTTAAAGCCACAGGATGGCCTTATTTAATAATGATTTACCTCCTAAATGAATAGCCATCACAAGACTACAGAAAATATGGAAAAGAAAAGGGCTTTGACCACTCACAAGATACCTCATGTTCAGAAAGAGGCAAAAACATTTGGGGGTTTTTTGCTTTGAGGGCTTTGTTGTTGTTTGGATTTTTTGGTGTCAGGGTTTTGGTTTTGGGGTTTTTTTGGTGCTAAAAATCTACGTTTTTCATTTATCTCTAAGTCAGATTTTCATTTGCCCATTCAACAAGACTGACCCAAATACTAGAGGAAAATACATGAACAAAACACATTTTTAGTCCTCAGGGAGGTCACAGACAGGAAAGCAGAATGTCTACAGCCTGGAAAGTGCTGGGGCCTAAGTGTCAGTTCAGGAGAAAAGGATGTAGGGGACAGGTGCTAATGTACACTGGAATTAGGACAGAAACAGCTTCCTTGAGATGAATCAAGTCAATATGGTAGAAACGAGAAGCAGTCTGGCCATCTGGAACACTGGAGAGGGGCAGTGGCTTTTGGGCCAGGAGTGAGGGCAGTGGAGCCTGTTTGTGCAGTGTCAGTTCAGGGAACTGCAGCTGAAGAGGAGGATGGTGAAGGAAAGTGGCAGCTGGAGAAGAAGCTGAGAAGAAGCTGTCGTAAATGGACTTCTGTTACAAGTTAAGGACTTTGGACTGGAGAGGTCTGGAGCCAACTGTGATGTGATTACATTTTAGAACTAAAAAAAAAAATCACCCTGACTGAGGGAAATAGAAATGGCAGGTACTTCAGGAAAGAATTCTAGAGAGGCAAAAAGAGAAATGGCAGAGTGAGATCAAGTTGGTCAACTGGGAGACATTTCCAGGGTGCTCCGTGCCACCTGAGGGAATGAATGAGATCTAAAATCCCATCTCTGGAATCAGCTCTCTAAGCCCTTCATCCTGGCACAGGAGGTTTCCTCCTGCAGGAAGGGACACATTTATCATCCCACAAAGGTGTACTTTGCTTCCCAAGCCCTGAACAAAGGGCTGTACCCATTTAAATGCAGGCTCTTTTTTTAATTTATAAACCCATAGGGGGTGCCTTGTTCTGAAACACACAAAGACAGTGGTATAAGCTAGAAACCTTGAGTTTGCAATGATTCAAGTGTGAAATAAGGTCCTAAACTAAAGCAGGGAGGATACAAGAGGAGAAGACATTTACAGTGGCTCTTCATTCACCAGACATTGTGAGAGCATACTCAGTGCCAATCTCTGAGCATACACAGAGAGTCACAGATAAGCTCTGCCCTGGGACAAGTGACGTGGGAGGTGACGGAAAAAATGCATTTTCAAATGTCAAAATCTGATGTGCAATCTGCCTTCTCAACCTACTCTTGATCCTAATATCACTGTCCTGATTAATGTTTTTGTACTCCAGCCCCTCAAAATCCAAGAATCAACCTTGAATCCTTTTTGTTCCCAGTCATTAAACTTTGTAGACTAGCCCTGCAATGTAGCTTATACTTTCCTCCTCTTTGCCATTCTTACTGCTTCTAATCCAAATTCTTATTACTCCTTACTTGAGCTCCTGCAGTCCGCTCTCCAAGCATCCTGGCACAGGAGGTTTCTTCCTGCAGGAGCTCCAAGTTTTCCTTCCAAACTTATCTCCGTCTATTTTCTGGTCATTTCTAATATTCACTCTGCCTCAAACACCCTTACCCTCCACCTCTGACTATCAAAACCCTACACATTACACACTTCCGCATGGAGGGCTGCCCTGTGAGGTAGTCAGCTTACCATGTTCTAGAAATGCTAAACAAAAATCTTGAAGAGATTCTGTTCAGAGAATTCTAGCATTGAGTAGAGAGTTTGTACGATCTGTGGCTCCCAAAGCGTAGTTGATCATGTGAATCACTAGGAGAGCTTTTGAATGATTCTGATTCCTAATTCCTTCACTCTAGAAATTCTGATTCCATGGGTGTCTTAGTCCATTTTGTGTTGCTAGAAAGGAATACATGAGGCTGGGTAATCTATAAGGAAAAAGGGTTTATTTTGGCTCACAATTCTGATGGCTGCAACATTCAAGGTTGGACAGTTGCATCTCATGAGGGCCTCACGCTTCCTCTCCTCATGGTAGAAGGTAAAAGGGAGCTAGAGTGTGCAGATGTCACATGGTAAGACAGAAAGCAAGAGACAAGAGGGAGATGCCAGGCTCTCTTT